CAACCCCAAGTTTATTTAGTTCATAAACTCTCTCCTAGAAAATCAATACAGTCTGTACAGGGTTATTAGGCTGACTAGCTAATACATCCAAATCTGGTCTGCCCAGCCAGCAATCTCCTGACAAAATGCTACCCGGTGTGGGCAAAGGGAGTTCTTCCAGGTATCCAGGTTAGAGGTGGCTCTAGCAGAAACAGAATTGTAATTTATCTGTTACTTGCATAAGACTGCCACAATCCATGCCTCAAAAGCACCTGGATGTTTTTCTAAGGCTTAAAAAAAAATTTTTTTTTTTTTTTTTTTACTAGAAATCTACCAGATACCACACCTGCTAAATGGAGTTGATCACCCAAACAAAATCTTGACAAATTTGTAAGACTAGTTAACGAAAAGAACCACTTCTTACACTAAAAGACAATGAGCCTAGTGAAACTGACAATAAGAAGAATCCAACCAAACCCTCAAACTCATACACATGTTATGCTGGCTTTGCACATTTTAAGTGTTCAACATTCTTTATATTTTTTAAGGAAACATTTGAAAATACTAATGAGGCCTTTCTAGAAGTCTCAAAAATACATTATTTAAATTTGCCACTCCCTACCTGGAATCTGTGACCCTAGTCTATCCAACAAGATAACAGTGACATTTTAAGGATGCAAAAACAAAAAAACACACCTAAAAGACACACAACATTTCTTCTTAGTTTTTCCACTGGCCATACAGTCTGCAGTGAAAGGAATACTTCTTTGGAATCGTTTATAAAACAACTTATTTACACTTGGAGGTTGGAGAGGTGGGCACCATTCTATACTAACTGCCTTCTGGCTGCCCTGACTTTCTATGTATTTCAGGTTAAAGGATTACAAGTCCTGAAGCCCATGTGTCACCTCTCTAAACATCTGCTGACAGAGGCTAGGAGTACCACCATAGATGGTGAGACCGGCATCCACCAACTAGGTCTAAATGCACCACCCACCTAATTGAAGACATTAATGACAATGTGAATGCCTTCAACCTGACCACAAACAATAGCAGAAATACACTTACACAAATCAGGAAACTCAAATGCATTTTATACTGTTAAAATACTTTAGATTAAAAAGGGATGCAACACATTTTGGTAGTAAGTGATCTTGGATGTTTATGATGTTTTAACATTTAAAATATTCTATTTATCAAGAAAAGGCTTACAAAATCATTAACATGCCTCCAGTATGGTGGCTTTAAAATACTAAATCTTATACTTCAAAAAATATCTTTTCATAGGACTTTACTAAAATCCAATTTATAGATTGCTATAAATACTAACCTTTTCTTGTAACTTTTGAGCTGGCAACTTATTAAGTATTTCATTGCTCATGTTTTTGAGTAATATGTTAAAAAAAAATGTTAGGCATACATATTCCAAACCTATACCATAAATGCCAGAATTTTAGATAGTAATTTAAAGTTGTAATTACAGAGAAATTTTATTTTTTCAACCTTTTTGCATATAACTTCATACTGTGCATGTACCCTCAATGAGATCCAATTAGTTGCAAAGAATTTGCATTTCAGTTAGTGTGGGATAACAAGACTATAGGGAGACACAATGTAATTCCACCAGCAGAGTTAAAAAAGTGTGTTCTTTCTTGTTAGCTCTGTAAGCAATAATTCCCACAAACGACTGTTTCAGATGTTACTGATCTTACACAATATTTAGGCACTGAGATGGGTTTAAAGCTTTTCTCTCCATTTTCTCAAAAATTAGTAATTGAGAAAAATCTCATGTTAGTACAAAAATCAGCCATAATTACTACCTAAAGAAGGATTTCCATCAGCATGTCTTGTGTTTTTTTATTTGGGGATAGGAGGGTTGGCATTTTAAATTTTTTTCTTCTTAATGCTTATTAAAAATTTCTTTGAAAATGCCTCACTTTCTTAAATGACATTTTCTAACATGCAGGAAAAGATGACTGAGGCAGTACTATGTAAATATATATATGGTTTTTTGACAAAGACCTATACACTGAGCACACTCAAGAATTTTCATTTGTTGTGTGGTGCTGGACTGATAACCACAAAGTCTGTGGTTCAAATCTACCTGCCGCTTCCCAGAAACCCTATCCGGGTCTCTACATGTGTTTGAACCAACTCAACTGAACTTACCAACACGTTTCCAGCAGTGTCATTGCAAAGCAAATATAAAACAAATGTATAGTTTACACACACAGTTTAGCAAGCATCTCAAGGGGTGCTGCTAGTTTACTGAGCACTACCTCTAAATCCCTAGGTTCAGGACTGCAGCTGTTCAAAGACTCTGTACTCTGTAAGGACAGTAAACTGACCTTTGTTCTTCTTGTATTCACGATTCATTTTCAAGGCTTGGTTACGTACCGAGCTGGGTTAAAGATCAGTAGTTTTTCATGTGACACACACTGGTATTCATCTAATGGCATGTCAAGACAAAACTGTCCCTGTTCTTGCCAAAATAATAAAAAACGATGTGCCACATCGCATG